TCCAATTAAGAAACCCTTATGATAATATTTTTCACAATTACTAAAGAGCCAGAAGAATCTAGTGACATAAAACTTGCCTGTGGGCTAAAGTTTTACTCAATTAGATCCAACTGAAAAATTTATTTATGATGAAACCATTATCAAATGAGTTGAAGAATCAAATGACACAAAACTTGCCTGTAGGCTAAAGTTTTAGTCAATAAGATTCATTACTACCATTATGATAAAAAACTTAAGAGATCATGTTCCTTTTCTTAATCCCTGTGGGCAAATTAAGAAATATGATCTAAAGTTTACATCATAAAATTTAAACTTCATGATAGAATTGAAAATTATTTACAAATAACCATAAAGTAAATAAATTGATTTATTTCTATCGTAAACTACTAAACTACATTCCGATACATAATTGCTTGTGGGCTAAATTATGACCGTAGTCTAGTATTTCATCCTGATTAATTATACAAATATAACGAAATTGCCTGTGGGCTAAATTTCATCATATTACATACAATTAATCACAAATGATATGTCTAAAACTTTATGTGATCAAAATAAACCGCTTAATATATAATTTTAACAGATTAAGGATGCTGTGGCTACTCCCAAATCAAATTAAAATTATAAGATCACTAGACAATTATCAAATTCTTGCCTAAACTTTATGTGATTAAAACTTAATAATCTTAGGTAGCTGAATATGCTGTAACTATTCCTTAATTAACCAAGATTGAAAACTTAAGAGACTTCAATAAATTAAAGATGCTTTGGCTATTCTTTAAGGAACCGAAATCAAATCACATTGGCAAAGAATACTTAAAATTTTGACAAACAGATTATACCAGATTGTGATGGGAAAATCTAAATATACTCCAAGGAAAGGTGGTTAGAGACTAAGTCTCACTGAAAACCAATTCCTTAAATAGAGTATCAATTTAAGGAGACTAGTGACTCAAGATATTCTTAACTCATGGCCATTAAAACTAGTATGTCTCCCCGATTCATATATACTTGATGTATAACTGTTTGGGGGTATGAACTAAAACTGTAGGGTTCACCTATGATTAAAGCTTAAATGGTGAACCAAATTAGCGGACTAAATGTGCTTAAATTCAGGTACTACCGCAACTAAAGTTTATGCATAAGTCCAACTTAAATAGGAACTAATATAATTCCATCTCAAAGAATGCATTGCTAAAGGCATAATAAAATTGCATAATTTAAAACATAATATTATGCTTAGGACAAATATGCATAAAATTAAACATTAAACTCATATATTCCAAATAAATTGCATAACTTAAAACAATTTACAATATGAGATTTTAAAGTATAAACTTAATATTCAAACACCGATGAGTACAAACCAAAAGAGACCCAACATTTTGAATAATAATGTACTGAATATATACTTTAACTGTAAGTCCATGGTAAAATGTTTTAATGCATAAAGATCAAATTCATGAGAAATAACTGAATTTACAAATTCAAACAATATCAAACCAAAAGGATATGCTAGCATTTGTAAATTAAAATCTCACAAACCCTAATTGCATAATTAAACTTAATATTATGCACTTAATGTGATCGAAATGCATAAAACAATCTAGAAAGTATGAACCAACTAAAGAATATGAATTTAAACAAAATATTCATTTATTCATACTTAACCAAATATGGACAGTCATAATTCAAAGACCTAAATGAATTATGAAATTAATGGCAAAAGTCAAATGCCTAGAAAATATGCTTTTCCAACATTACTAAATTGATTCAAAATCACTCTCCATAACTCAGTTAATAATAATATTATTATTATTAATGGCAAAATTGCAAATAACCAAAATAGCAATAAATAGCCATAATAATATTATCACATTAAGTAGGAGACTAAATATGAAAAAACAATGGTTAAAACCGCTAACATTTATGAATGTTTTCGGATAAAATTTTGAAAACTTAATAAAATTTGAAGTCCGAAAAATCTTAATGTCAAGAAAATTATTTTCTGACTGGAATATTGTCACATAAATTTATTTGGAAACAGTTCAAGGCACATAGCTGAATACCATAACAATATCAATGTTATCACTAATCAATTATTAATAGCAATAAATAACATTATAATCACTATTAACATTAATAATAATGACAAACTAAAGTATGGTAATGCACTTTAATGTTTCCATTTTCTAAAGATAAAATATGTGACTAGTCCAAATTAGTGGTTAACTGTAACTGTAGCACTAATTATCAATAATAACTGTAAAAGATAATTAATGGCTAACCTTAATGATGCAAACCGCATCTCTCCATTGCGCTAACAACGATGATGATCCACAAGAGAAGAAAAAACTCCAAAGTTCTCCCATCTTCACTATCGGTGTCACTAGCCTCGATGCAGCGTCCAATGGTACATTTAGAATTTATTGGTAGGACTTAATTACCAACATTAATAGTCATGTGAAATGAAGTGGTAATCATGTCAATGTACCAAATATAGCATATTACCATGAAATAATACTTATTATGAAAGGTAATAAAATAAGAGTAGTCCCTAAACTTAATAACAGTAATTAATAATGCCGAATTTTAACTTAATAAATGGCAAAACTGTAATTAAGGGATGCCAAATACTAATCTCAATTTATCACATAATAATTAACCATGACTATTATGATACTTAGGGAGACTGTAGTTAAGGTAATAACCAAATTACCATTAAACAAACAATATACCAACTATATTGTTTTTGCCATAAAATTAAAGACTTAATATTATTATTAAGGCCCTGAAACTATTGATAGATTAAAAATTAATCAACTTAAACAATAATTTGTAATTCTTAATGGCCAAAATAACAATTAAATCCTTAATCCTTAATGTCTCAAAATAGATCAAGATAAAAAATTATAGCCCTTAATCACTTAAATTAGGCTCATAAACCTCAATGGCCTAAGTAAATTATAACATGGATGGAAAATGGTCTAATACCGAAGTAGACTCAAAACTTAATATTATTACCAACGATGAATACAAAAATATGGTAGTTAGTAATAATTAAAAGTTAATAAACATGTTATAAGAAGCTATAATTATTATTTAAATTTAAATATCAATCAAAATGATGGTATTTATACTTTAATGACCCAAGATAGGTCCCAAATAGCTTGTTCAAAATAGGTTCTAAAGTCCCAGAGACATAAAACTAAAATGTGCTCAAAATTAGTGGGAAACCAAAACAAGCTACCTTAATAGGTCATAATATCTAAAATTGACCTAAGGATCCAAAATTGAGTGATAATTAATAATGAATTTATGAGTTAATAATATGCTAAATCCAACCTTAATGCATGCTATTATGAATGTATAATTATAACAATAATTTATGAATATACGTAGCATGCTTGGATGTGCAAATTAATACATTATTAACCTATATATACTAAATAAATTGCAATACTCGAGGCAATTTAATTTGCACCTTAACATTAAATTAAAATTCAAATAGCAAATTAAAACTTAATATTTGCTACAAATTGAATAATAATTTAATAATTAATTAAGGGAGAATTAAACTGAAAAATTAAGCTAAAAGAAGTCCAAAATATGATGATGGAAGCTGAAGCAAGCCCAAAATGCTAAATAGGCTCAGTTTTTTTTTTTTTTTTTAATGGTATTGGACCAGGTCTGCCCCAATGGGCCTGACCCGGCCCAAAATCATAACCCATCATCATCATCTTCTCTCTTCAGCCAAAGCCAAACCTAGCGCAGCCATGAGAACAACCAGCGCCGTCCGACAAAGAGGAGCAGCGCCAACTGCCCTCAGCCACGACGTCGCCCGTCGTCCGCCGCCATCACGCTGTCTTCCCAACGGTGGAGCTCGTCGATACACGGAAGTGACACTGCCTGAATGAGGAGAGACAGCGACGACCGAAGCCAGCGCTGCCTGAAGAAGAGGGAGACAACCACGGCGAACCGGAAAAACCAGTCCACCTCTGCCGTCTGTCCTTGTCGCGGCACCAATGCCGTCGCTCGCCGCCGTCGTCTCCAAGTCGCGATGCCACCGCCGCCAACGCCATCCACCGCCGTCAACACCCAAAGCTCGTCGTCATTGACGATGGCAACCGGCGAACTGAAGGATTTTTCCTTTTCTTTTTTCTCTTTAAACTGTAGCTCAATCACCGGAAAAACAACAAATTCGAGACCGAATCCATATAATAAATCCGGTAATTCCAAAGGCCGGCAACTCTCCGGCGAAGACAAGTAGTGGGCGAAGAGAAAAAAAAACAGTAGGCTAATTTCCCGATTAAAAAAAAAATATATGCTGAAGGGATTAATTCACACACACGTAAAATTACAAAATTATATCCTCTGACTGAATAGATATATTTTAACGTATGTATTTTAAAGAATTACAAGATATACGAAAACTCAATGTATATGAAATTTAATGTTGATTTTAGGCAATACAATCAACCAGGCAGAGATTATAAAGGCTCTGAAACCAAATGTTAGATATACAATAGTCTAACTATAATGAATAACAGTATACGAGAAACCTGACCTCGTATGATAGCGGAAGCGTAGCCATGTAGATCTCCAGCCATAGTTGATGTTCCTGTAGTATTGCCTCTTAACGGTAGACCGTTAGCCATGTTTTGCCTCAGACCTGACTCAGAACCCTAGATGGTGTATTGGTATCTACTGAGCGGTCTGAGTACCGTAACTGAATGTGCTAACTAATCCATAATCCTGTATCCCATCAATCCAGGTTATATTAGGCACAGAGTTTGGTTGACTAACAACTACTAGTTATTAAGTCCAACCAGACCACTTAATAAGCCTAGTCAACTTGCACCACTTAATTAAGGCCCTAATATATAATATCAATATATATTATAAGGGAAAATCTTACATATTTAGGGTCTTTTGTGTTCTGAATGAATGGTTTTGACGTTGTTGTGTTCAAAAAAAGAACCATTTTGGGCATGACGGACATGGCTGATCAACGTGGTACATTTGCTTCTGACAATGACAATGGTACGATGATGATGAGCAGCATCCCACATATGACATCTATACCCCCTTCTGATCATGTCTTTAAAACATGGACCTCTCCTAACGTGACACTCAATGTGTGTGGCAATGATGCACCCATTAACGTTTGCTGTTCTAAGAAGTTTGGTGTCTTAGCTGCCATTTGCTCTGTGCTGGAGAAGTACAAAATTGATGTGCTATCTGCTCATGTGTCATCAGATCATAATAGGAGCATGTACATGATCCATGCCCGTGTAAGTCTTCCTCATCCTTATCATAGTACCCTATAAACAATGAATCCCATGACCTCTGGCATGAGTTGGTTCTGATACCAAATAGAAGCATAATGTGCTCCATCTTAATTAATTAAAAACTAAATTTGATAGTTGAACTGTATATTTATGTTTATATATTATATGTTCATTACGTTCTTTTAATTCAATATGTTGAAACAGGTGATAGCAGGTGGATATGAAGGTCAATTTTCAGTAGAAGAGATTTACAAGGAAGCCGCAACAGAGATTATAGGAGTTTGTGGGTAACTGCATGCCCATCGCTGATCCATGTTGCATTGATATCAATATTGGGGAAATACTAGCTAGTGCCATGTCTTTTCTTGATTTTTTTTGTCTTTTCTTGATTTTTTTTGGGTGCGTATATGAATATTTAGTTAAATATTGCTTGGGGGACATTTTAAAATTTTAATTAATATGTTGCATGTGTGTTTTTATATATTGGAACGGTTTGGTAAAATAATTAGTCTATTAGTCAATTTTGACTTATTTGACCACTATTAGTTGTTTAACTAACAATCAATATGGGTGGCCAAGACCTTGTGGTCTAATCGCACCAAGGTTGCACTTCCATTTGGGAGGTTGTGGGTTTGAGGCTTAGTGGAGGCGACATTGATTCTTTGTGTTTCTGTAGTCAATATGAGTGTGATTAATTAGCTTTTTGTAATAACTTATTGTTTTAAAATGTTAAAATTCAAAAAGCTGCTCTAATCTAATTAAGATTAAATTTTCTTATTAATTATTAAAAATAAAAGAGGTAATCTTTTGAGAAAATTGAGGGAAAATAATGGGGTGGATTCAAATTGTAAATTCACACTTAATTAGCTTGTGCTCTTCCTCATATATATGTGCATCTATTCGGCACAATTGCTCTATACACAATTAGGCTTTATTCACATTTTAAGGGGCATGATTTTTGTGCTTAAGGTGTGTGGTTTGTGTGCTTAGTGTGAGTAATTGTTGAAATTTAATGTGCGTCAACCTAAAGCTTAAGGTGCGTGATTTTCCTTCTTAAGATGCGTTGTTTTCCTTCTTAAGGTGCGTGAGTTGTTGAAACTTAAGATTGCAACTGTCAAATTTTATCATACTCTTTTAATTTTATGACATTACATCATTGAATTTCATTTACTTGTCACAATTAGTCATTCTTTTGAAATTTTGTCATTCCATCATTTAATAAATATGACTAATTTCAATCCATAATTCAATTGAAAGAGTTTAGACGAAGAGAGAGATAGATAGAGTTCCAAAGTGTTTTTGTTGGGAGTTTTGACAACTCAAAATTCATAGTTTAATACCAAATAGGGAACTCTGCTCTAGTTGATGACAATGAAATCGAAGAAACTGTTTGAAATTTCTTATATACAAGGTGATACTTTCTAATTGATTAGTTATCAAATAATCAATTGATTATAAAACACTACAATTATATCGTGGACAAGGTCGACCATGCATATATAATAGACCCTAGTTCAAAATGGCATAATTTTATATTAAGCAATGTTGCAAAAAACGTTAGGCGCCCCCTAGGCGCCAAGGGGGAGCCTAGGCGTCGATTTTTTATTTTTTATTTTATTTTTATTTTATTTTTTTAATTAAAAAAAAATTAAAAATTAAAAATTTTCAAAATTTAGTACTAAAACATAAGGTTTTCATAGTTATTTCTTAGAAACTATTTACAAAAGTGGTTGTAAAATTGTTCAAAAGATTGTTTAAACCATCTAAATACATAAAAAAACTAAAATTAAGAGCTAAAGAAGCATTTTTTGAGAAATTAGTGGACCAAACCGCCTTTGGCCGTTTGCGGTGTATAGATCTCGAAAAAATACGCGATTTGAAAAAAAAAAATTGTCCGAATCGAACAACCGAGTCAAACATTATGCCTTCCGAATCTTTTCCGACATTTTAAAAAAAAAAAAAAAAAAAAAAACGCCGAACCGCCGAACCGGCCGGTTAGGCGGTCTAGGCGGCCGCGTAGGAGGCCGCCGAGGCCATTCCTCGCGGCGGCCTCCTAGCGCCTAGGCGCGATTTTTGCAACCCTGATATTAAGTATCAATTTGTGCATTATATTTATATAGTAATATTTTCATAATATGTATTCTATATATCTATAGTCCTAAACATTAAACTATATGCATATTATATGTATTTCTATTAACAATGTAGTATGGTCATAAAATTGCTTCTATATATTTATATACGCAAATTTTAATCTTAATTTACATAAATATTATACTGCAGATGTATCATGTTTAATAATGGGTATCATGCGTGACCATGCAGGGCGATTTATCGCAGCACATGGCGGGCGTTTGGGGTGTCTACATGATCCTTTTTTAGCCGAAGCAACCGCGGTCGAAAGAACTCTAACTTGGCTGAAGGGTCTGAATATGAATAATTTAAATTTTTCTACTGCTTTTAATTCTAGTTATGTTGATTTTTCTTATGTTGGATCCATTGTAAAGCAATGTTTAAAGCTTGCTAGTGATATTGGGAACATCAGAGTTCGCCATATCAAAAGGTCAGCGAATCAGGTCGCTCATGTACTAACTCGGACAACCGATTCCCCGTCTGTCCTAGGGACGTGGTTTGATCACCCGCCCTCGTGTATTGCTTCTCTTTTGAGTTATTAATGAAATTGTTCCCTTTTTTTGCTTCAAAAAAATAATGGGTATCATGCACTATGTGTTGGAAGACATTTAAAGGGAAAATGCTTCTTATTCTTTAAAAATGTTGTCCCACATTGGTTTTGGAAATCCCTTTTTTCCCACTTTATATAGTATTAACTCTTTTAAGGAATTAAGGGTATTGACAGCTTATGGAAAAGAAATAAAAGGGAGATCTCTATATAGTATAACTCTTTTAAGGAATTAAGGGTATTGCCATTTTTCCAAAATTTGGACGAAAAAGATTGACTTTCTAATTTGTTCCAGCAAAGCTCCTTCATTTCATTAGCTATGCTTCTTCTTCCTTATTAGCTATGGCTGGAGAGAAACAAAGTTATCCGGCCAGCAAATGCTCAATTTTTCTTCTCCCAACTCGCAGACACTGCCATTGCCGTCTTACCATCACCAAATTTCTGCCGCTTTTAGCAAAAACTCAGGTACGCTTTGCTTTATTATGACCCATGGTGGGTGCATAAATGGTAATAATGACATATGATGTGTTTGGTTAATTAGTAGACCTCTCGGCTTGTCATTTTGGAAGGGAAATGATTCTCTACCAACTCCCCTCCAAAACTTGAGTTGATGTTTAAATTGGGTTCACATTCGATCTGCTTATGACTTTTTAGGAAATTAAAGACTGTTTCTTTCTTGCATGGATTTTCTGTTTTTGAGTTTTAAATTCCCAACACAGTCTTGTATGTGCTGGAAACCATGTCTTTTCACACCATCTTCCACAACAGAATCTTGGTTTGCAAAGATACCAGTTTGGCCGGTGCTAATAAGAAGGTAGAAAAGTGGGGAAAAAGAACATTTTAATTAAACATCTGTCACTCATGCACGTACATTCCTCCTCAGAGGTTTTGTTTTTACTTAATTGGTCTCTCTAAACTCAGATTTTCTACATTGTTGTAGCCAAGCACTTTTATGATCCCCTTTTCAAAGTGTGATGTTACTTGCCCCGGCCTCATACATTCTTGATACCAAAGGCCTTTTTTCATTTTCCACCCACCAATCAAGATAGCTGTTTTAGTTTTTGGCTTTCTTGAAATTTGTTTTTGAGGTAATTTAGTTCTTTCCATTTCAGGGTATGCAGGATTGAATTCTGGAACCTGCATGGGTTAGTAATTAAGTGGAGTGAGAGGTCCATTCACTCCATCTTAGTGGATGGAGCTGGAACACTAGGCTTTGATCTATAAGTACATAACTACAAATGTGCCTATTCCTCCTTATCTTCTCGATCACCCCTATCAAAAAGGCCTTTGATTCTGCAGCTTATTCTCGCCTAAGAGCCAATTCTTGTAAGTTCTGCTCTTCCCCCCTTTGATTTCATATTCTCCAACAAGACATTATTATATTGATTTTGTGCTGCAATAAAGGTGTTGTCTTACACCTCCCACTTAGGGGTTGCCTTTACGTATTTATAGATTAATTTTTTTTTTTAAAATAAAATATATCAATATACATATGGATTATTATTTAAAACATCTTAATTAAATTTTTTTTTTTAATAATTTAGTGTTTATACCGAGCACCTTGTGTTAGATGACATGTAATAATCTCTTTCATGTGCTCGATCATGAGACCGAGCCTCAATGGAGGCGTTGTTAACTCTTTGTGTTTCATTAGGTTGAGAATGTATGTTTGAACAGATACTACAATGTAATAGATTCAATAGTATTCAAAAAAACAAAAAAGTGTTTATACGTGAATTTTATTTATAAAAAATAAATTTAAGTTGCTTTAAGACATTACTAGTTTGCTGTATGCCATTGTTTCCTGACAATGCCAAAATGCCGACGGCCATATCGAATTGTTGCTTTGAAGACATGCTTGGGAATCTGAAGCTTAAGGTGTGTGATTTATATGCTTTAAGGTGTGGGAGTTGTTAAAATCTTATGTGCATGATTTGTGTTATTAAGGTGCGTGATTTGTGTAATGAATGTGCGTCATTTTCATGTTAAGGTTAAGTTGCTTGGTTCCTTTTAGATGCGCCTTTTTAAAAAAAAAAAAAAATTCATTGATTTGAGTCGTTGATTTAAATTTGAAGGATTTAGATTAAACCGCACCTCTGCACCTGAGAGCAAATTCCCGCACCAGAAAGAGACTTGAAAATACTTTGAGCGACCTATAGAGATAGAAGTCGGAAATGCTTGAAAGTTCGAAAACAAGAACCGTCTTGGGCATGACGGACATGGCTGATCAACGTGGTACATTTGCTTCTGACAATGCTACGATGATGACGAGCATCCCACATATGACACCTATACCCCCTTCTGATGATGTCTTTAAAACATGGACCTCTCCTAACGTGAAACTCAATGTGTGTGGCAATGATGCACCCATTAACGTTTGCTGTTCTAAGAAGTTTGGTGTCTTAGCTGCCATTTGCTCTGTGCTGGAGAAGTACAAAATTGCTGTGCTATCTGCTCATGTGTCATCAGATCATAATAGGAGCATGTACATGATCCATGCCTGTGTAACTGTGTAAGTCTTCCTCATCCTTATCATACTACTTACCCTATAAACAATGAATCCCATGAAATGCTGTATGTGTGTTTTTATATATTAGACCTGTTTGGTAAA